GGTCGGCCTCCCTCTCCCCCCCCCCCCACCTCACTCCTCTGCCCTCTCCTTGCAGCTTTCAGCGGGGCCAGCGAGCGCACCTTCGTGGCCATCAAACCGGATGGGGTCCAGCGGCACCTGGTGGGGGAAATCATCCGGCGGTTCGAGAGGAAGGGCCTGCAGCTGGTGGGGCTGAAGCTCCTGCAGGTGAGCGGGGCGGAGGGGAGGGGAGGGGAGGGGGTCCCCGGGTACCGAGGGGCACAGGCTGGAGCAAGGCCCCGGCTCTGCTGGTGCATCCCGGGGGGGTTCCTGCCCACCTCCCGGCTCATACAGCCTGCTGTTGTCATCCGGGCAGCAGATCCTCACAGCTTGGAGAGGTGTTGGCAGCCAGGTGCCTAAACTGCTCCTGGAGGGGTGATTCTGTGGGGAGCGTGGCAGCCCTTTGCTGTGTGCGTGCTCCAGGGCTCTCCTACATGGCTGTTGTAAACTCACTGGTGTTGCTCCTCTCGCCTAGAAACTTCTCCCCTCCGTGGAGGCCTCTATAAAGACTCCCGGAGCCCTCTGGGGCTGAAGTCCTGCCCTTCTGCTTGGGCAACGAGGCCCAGAGAAGTTAAGAGCCCATTTTCCAGAGTTGCTAGCCTGGGCCCATCAGCCCTGGAGCTGGAGAGGGTGGTCCTCCCTCCATGATGCTGAGGCCTCAGCAAAGTAAAGCCATTTCACTCCTGGAAGCGAGTATCTGTGCAAGAGCTTAATTGTAACAGGCACTCTCCAGCTTTAACTCCATCTCTCGGGTGTAGACCTTGCCCACCCCACCCCCCCCTGCTCACAGCAGACTAATCTTTGTGCTCTTTGTGCTCAGGCCTCGGAGGACCTGCTGAAAGAGCACTACATCGCCCTTCGTGACCGTCCCTTCTACAGCCGGCTGGTGAAATACATGAGCTCTGGGCCTGTGGTGGCCATGGTGAGTGCTGGTCAGGTTCTCCTGAACCCAAGAACAGAAAGTAAGTGCAAAGTATAAGAGGCATTGGCTTGTGGTGCATTGGAAGAAGGTGGTCTCTCTCTTTAGAGGGCCTCTCAAAGCTGTACTGAACTGCAGGGACGTTTTGTGTGGTAAATCAATCACAGGCAATTCTGATAATTTTCCAAAATCAACTTTTGAAGACTATTTACAGAGAGACCCTTTCCTGTCTCTCACCCAGGTGGATCAGGTGGGGAATTCAGAGGACAGACAATACGACCTCATGGGGGAGTTGTCTAAGCTGATTCTTGTTTTGCTGTCATGTAGGTCTGGCAGGGCCTGGATGTGGTCAAGACAGTGCGCACAATGATTGGGGAGACCAACCCAGCCGAATCCAGGCCTGGCACCATCCGAGGAGACTTCTGCGTTGAAGTCAGCAAGTGAGAGCTTTGACTTTTTGTTCCCTCAAGTATTTCTCTGCGTCCTGTC